TCTATCTATCTATCTATCTATCTATCTATCTATCTATCTATCTATCTGCTTCTGTTTATCATCTCTCTCTCTCTCTCTCTCTCTCTCTATCCTATCCTATCCTATCCTATCCTATCCTATCCTATCCTATCCTATCCTATCCTATCCTATTTGTTTATTACATCAATGTCTCCACTGATTCAAAACACACATATTTTTGTGTTATGTGCAGCGTTGAAAACACTGAAAACATTATGTGAAGACTATCTGGCCTTGATTTCTATTGTACAATGGATTCCTCAGATGAAGAAAAAAGAATCTAATGCAGGGGTGAGCAACTATGGCCCCTTTACGTCCCAGAATTCCTCAGCCAGGATGGAGGACATAGTTGCCCTCTCCTGATCTAACAGATAGACAGCCTTCAACTGAGGAAGCTTCTTGGATGAGAAGTGAAACGTTTTCAAGGAAAAAACCAAGAAAGTCCAGTTGCCTTTTGGAAATCACCTTTGGGTGTATATATGCGTGTGTGTGTGTGTGTGTGTGTGTAGGCTTTTTAATGAACCTGAATTCTGTTTGGACTATAGTTTCTTGTGCTCCAAGGTCATTTTCAACTTTCTGGATATATTTAATTTTTATCCCATCTTGATTACTTTATAAATAGCTCAAGGGTTTCAAACATACCCAATATGCCTTCCTCCTCCTCCTCTTCCCCCCCCCCCCCCCCCCCCCACACACACACATTCAAAACTGTAAGGTGAGTTGGGCTGAGAGCGAGGGACTGGCCCAACAATTTTGTACAACAAAATTAAATGCCATCTTCAATGTACATTGTAACTATAAAAATAAAACACAAACACACATCCTTCACATTCTATACAATTGAATTGAAAACGTGATATTGTATTAATATTGCCCCATACAGTAGAATTCAACCGAGTTACTGCCCTGGGATATAGAAGCTGTTTTTCAGCCTATTTGTTCTTTTTTTTTATTGGCCTGTACCATCTGCCAGATGGTAATAGTTCAAAAAAAAGGCTGCCCAGGATGAGATGGATCTTTGAGAATGTTTTGAACTTTCTTAAGGCAGCGGGAGCTCTAAAGCTCTTCCAAAGAGGGGAGAGGGCAACCCATGATCCTCTGGGCAATGAGGTTAACCCTCTGGAGTGCTTTCCTATCTTCCGCTGTGCAATTGGCAAACCCTACAGAGGTGCAGTAAATTCTGGACCTTGGATAAGTTTCCAAATATCTTAAATACTGCCACTAAAATCTACATGGTCTTTGAAATGAATATTGATTCCTGAGTACTATTTCCTCACTCTTGTTCTATCTGGCATAATTTCTGGACTGAAGCATGAATTTGTAGGCAATTAACCAGAGTATCATTTAATAATATACTTTTTCAGCCTAATGCAGAATAGAAGTATCTGTCAGATTTCCCTAAAGGTAAAGTACTAAATAAATGATGGAAAAGTGATGACTGAGGAAAGTAGAACATGCTGTTGAACATCCATCAAGCTGTCAGAGGATGAAGCAACTGAGAGGCAGTGGTGGCAACTCCAGAAACACCACTATCCCAAAAAGGATATGCAGGAAGCGTCCAGATCTTTTTTAGATCCCAGATAAACAGTATCTGCCTCTAATCAAAACATAGCCGAGCATTTTTCAAACCAACTTTCTTCTGACTCAGGACTGGACCTTCTCCAACTTCTCAAGTGCAGAGATTTGGAAAGCGGACAATTAAAATCCCATCATCAATTCATCAAAGGGTTGGAATGAACCTGCAGCAACAGAAGCTTGCTTTCATTATTCCAGCTTTGCAAAACTCTGCTTTGCTTGTTTCAAATTTGTGTTATCCTTCTTTATGTTCCAAGTTAATCTTTGGAACTCCAGATTGGCCAGCTAATGGATCCGATTTACAGTTTGGCTCAAACGTATCTTATTCTTCACTTCAGCTTGTTTTCAGATACTGGCTACCTGCATCTTAGTGAAATTCCGACCTGCAGTTCTAACCCATACATTGCTTCAAGATAAGAATTAACTGAAAAAAAAAAAGAAAATAAACATTACATTTGCAATTGGCACACTGCTGGAAATGGAGCTCTTGGAGGATTCAATCTACCATTTTTAAACCATCCCATAATATCTGTGACTCTACTTGGAAATGGCTTCACCAGATCAAATGTTTCCAGCTTTCCTGGCAAAAGGATCCCAGGCAGGGGTGGGCTGCTGGGGGCTCCCAGGGGCTCAGGAGAGACCCTAATTAAGACTCTGCAAGAGCCCCCCAAAA